TTCTCATTCTTCACACGACATAATAATTCTTTTAATAATAAATAAATAAACTTGTTTGATTAAGATATGATGTCTTCATAATATTCATTAGATGTATATAATTTTTTTATATTATTATTTTATTATTTTGTAGAAACTGATTATTATGTAAAACTCATATATATATATATATATATATATATATATATATATATATATATATATATAATATAAAAATATGCCTGGCCTTAAACATTTGTCATAGCATAAATCTTGTAGAAGGGTACAAGTTAAATCGTTAAAATATGTTGGGAACATCACAAAATGAAGTTCTGGTTGTCAGGTACTTTCGCATCCCTGGCCTTACAAAATAAGATAGGACAAAACCTACGCATGCAATGAAGTCAATATGTTTTTATTCAACTCGTCTTTCGTAAACAAAACCACTTGAGCTTTGTGTTTGATTGGCTACCTACGTAACAGAGCAAATTAATATTGGTGGACATCAGCAAGTTGCAGTTATGCAAACTTGAATTTTCTACAATATTAAAAAGTAAGCATATATCGTAACTTTATATGAGCATATCCATTTGAAGACAAATATCTCACTCTTCCTAATATCATTTGAAAATGACCCTAAAAAATATGTGGACTTTTAGAAGACATTCACATACATCAAGTTGAAAGAACTAGAGAAGAAAGCCACGAATTTGATTCATCGTTATCAATATGTAAAAATATGAAACTGATACATCGAAAAAAGAAAAGAAACAAAAGAAGCCCATTAAAGCCCATTTCTTTGTCAGCGAATATATAAAATGGATTGATTTGCCTATCAAAGTGACAAATTTTCTGACCCGAAAGGAAAAATAAGGGTTGCTTTGTTATGAACCATGAAATAAGTAATAAAAATTTTAAGTGAAAAAGGTATTTAGGTACTTTAATTTAATTTGATTTCTTTAAATTTAGTCATGTTACTCTTTTTAAATATTAGGTCAAGTGTTGGGGAAGTCTTACTTTTTTATTTTTATTTTTTGGATAGATATCAACTTGTGTGCCAAACCTTACTAAACCCGATTAATTTAAGTTTAGGTTTAAACTTCTCCGTCATCTCCAACAATTGTGATTCTCTAAAATCAAACCCATATCTCCAGATAACAAGCGTATGATATACATGCCGAGTTTGCATATGCAAATCAATAAAACATGATAATGAGATGAATTTTGGGCCGGTTTAGTAGATGGGCCTAATACACCATGTAATGATCTGAATAGATATAATTGTAAAATCTAACTACCAAAAAAAAAAATTAACTTTTTTTTGCTGTTAATATAGATAAACTATCTACATTTAGTCCAAAATGACATTATTTTAGAGCGAAAATCTAGATATTTTTGTAATTATAATTTATTTTAGGGTTATAATAATCTTTCTCATTATAATTTTTTAATTTTTCAACCTATAATGACGTCTTTTTGAGAGCGAATGTAGATAATTTATCTACATTTACTATAAAAACATTAAAGCCAATTTTTTTTTTTTTTGTAAAATCTCAATTTTATCTACATTGAACTCAAAATGACGTCATTTTGCGACAGAAATCAAGATGCTTTTGTAATTATAATTTATTTCAAGGTTATAATAATTTTATCATTATAATTTTTTAATTTGTCAATCATTTTAGAAATAAATATACATAACTTATCTTTATTTACTGCATAAATATTAAAGCCATTTCTGAAATCAAATTGACAAATAAAAAAAGAGTTCAAAGGCTGAATTTAAAGAAAAATAAAATTAATGGACCCAAATCCCCATTCTGTCAAAATTTTATTACAAAAGGAATTCAATGATATGATAAAAACGTTGTGAAATTATTAGATCTTAGGATTAAAAAATCTTAAAACTGACTTTTATTATTTAAGCGGTAAGTATTATTTTCCATCAAAACAAACAATAATTAATTATGAAACTAGTTTTAGTAAGGCCAAGTTGAATAAAAATCAAAAGAGTTATATTATTATGGGGAAAATGTTTGTCATTTTAAATTATATAATTTATATCCTTTCATTCTCACAAAAGTGGGATCCATATTTTTATTTTTTTCTGTTCACTATCTCTCCTCCTTTATCTATCATTTTCTCTCACTTAAAATAACACAACTTTACATCCTTTAAAATGATACACACTTTTCCTTACTATTATTAATAAAGATTTCTTACGAAAACGTTAAAAATGAGGTGTCGTATGACACATTGCACCGTCATTCTTCTTATAAAATATAAATAAAAAACAACATAGAATAACACATGTAACAATACTCCTTAAACTTTCCATGAAAGGGATTCGTGATAATAATAATTTCTTAAATCAAAATAGAAAATCTTCCTCAAAAAATGGGACTCTACACTAATTGTCCTTATCTACCAATAAATTAATGAGATTAATTTTTTTAAGTAGAAGATAATTTTATCTCTTACACATATATATAAATGGATAAATTCTATTTTTTTTTGTTGCTTTTTTTCTTATTGGATCCGCTCATTTGCATGTGTATGCAGAAATATTGCAGAAAAATATTGAACACATTAATGTATATAAATTTTGTTTAATCAAGCAAAACTTGGCAGTTGGCACAAATAATATGTAAAGAATTACAAATGCGTTACAATTCCAGATGAAAACGGGTCTGTTTGAAATCTATTTCAATTTTTTTTTTTGATTTCCAGAACAAAATTATAAAAATCTTGTTTAATAAGGTTTATTTTATAAAAAAAAGTTTTAAAAATTGTAATTTTTTTTTGTTTTCAAAATCAAATTTAAATAATATGTTTGAGTTTTTTTTATTTTATGTTTTGATTTTTAACTTTAAAAAAAAATAAAAAATAAATGTTTCATTAACTATTCTACAAAATAATTTTAGGGACAAAAAAACCACAACACAATTAAACACACCCAAAGTTTATTTCCTCCAAGAAGTTTTGCAATATAAAAAAAATAATATGATTGCTCGCAAGCTAGATGGATAATCTCAACCTTCACAACTTTTCCTTTTATAGTTTTAAATTCGTTAAATCTACTCTCAATCTTCGATTCTTAATAATCTTCCTTCTCTTTCTTTCCTTTTCTCTTTATTTTCTTTTTTTAGAGCTCAATGTCTCAACAAATGATCAATTATTTGGTTAAATAATTTATTATTTGGACAGATAAAAAGCAAGTGCTTCATTCCTTAAGTGTACAACTTGAGTAAACGTTAATAGCAATAATATAAAATTGCACAATGCATGTGATGTAACAATAAGCACAAAGCGAGCTGCTTAAAAACAAGTCCAAAGCAATAAATTTTCTAATGAAAGAGCCCAATCTATCTTTTCTTGTGTTAAAACTAAATTTTTTTTATAAGAGTTATGTTATAAGAAAAATAATTGTGTAATGTTATAGAGATTTATTTTGCGTATCTTTATTTATTTTATTTATTTTTTGCTTTAAAAAGTGCGAACCCCACAAAATGTTGTGCGTGTAAGAAATTTTTGTGTGTCATGTGACATGATAGATGCAAACCCTAAACTAAAATATAGCAAAACAAGATTGGTAATTGGTCAATAGAAATAGATAAGGATCAAATGCAAACTCGGAATGAAAATACTATCTGAAAAGCAAGAATGTTTAATCTTAAATTTATTAAAACAATCTCTAAAATTTGGTGAGAAAAATAGACTCTGAACTTGTTATTCTTCCACCAAAGTTGTACATATTCAAAACATCATCATTTTTTGGCATAGATAAAATTTTAGTTCTACAAATTTGTACTTCATTTTGTTACATTATGAGTTTCTCTTCATTCATATGACATGCAATTAAATGATCTGACAGAAAACAAGTGCATCAAAGACGTCAAAGAGTAACCGAGTCCTAGAAACACAATTATATTAAAATTTAATAAAGAAAACTTTGACGTACGTCAAATAATTTTATCGGGTTGGAATCAGATTAATTGTGTAAGCGATAAACGAATTAACAATATAAAAAATAGGTAAAAAAGTATGACCTAGGAAATAAAACTACAGAGGCTATAATGGAGGCACATTTTTTTTCCCGTGAACCTTCCTTCAAAACCAAGTCGAATAGAAAAAGGAGCAAGAAAAAGATGAATAACCAATTCCCTATTATTCACGCCAACCCCATAGTCCAACAAGATTCCCTCTCCCTCTCACTTTCTCTCATTGCACAACATATTGGGGCCATGTTTTTTAATTTCAGATTTCAAAAACATAACCAAAGAGGAAGCAAAACGGGTAAGTAGGCCCCACAAAATAACATCAAAAGCAACGCAGATTAGAAGAGTGTCCATTTGTTCCCTCTTCTCCATAACTGTTTCCACCTTTTTTTTTAAAACCTCCTTAACAGTTTCATTCTTGTCTCCCCCTTTAGTTCTTCATTTCTCCACTACTTTGTCTTTTGACCAAAACCCCCTTTTTCTCTTCTTGATCTCTGTGAAAATTCTCACTAAATTTTTTTCTCTTGTTCGTAAGTTCATAGTTTACCCAAACAACAATGCCCACAATTAGCTTAATAATGGTAGGCCTCCCATAACAAATGTTGATTCCAAAATAGGCCCATAAGTCATGTGTGCATGTCTCATGCACGTATGACATATAAAATTATTTTCAAATACTGAACCTCAAGTAGAAGAGATCTTGTTCTCAAGGTCAAGTTTAAGCTGTGAGTTCGAAACATCCCTATCTATGCCTTTAAATGTTCTTGAAACATCACTCTCTTTGGGCTTTAACTTTGACCCTACTATACCTTGTTTGCATTTTTACTTGCTACATTGTTTCATTAAATTATCTTTTATATAGATATATATAAACCTTTGGCAACGTATCATTAGTATCCTATTGTCCCCTCTTATACTCCCTCACTGTCTCTCCTCTGTTTTTCTCTGTCTCGCTCTCTTAAGATACAAAAAAATTGAAATTGTTAGCTTTTTTGCAATAGGAAGTATTAATTTGTTGCTCAAATGTCAAGAAAAACTAAAAGGGTATGTTTTAGTCCTGATTTTGATGATAAACCAACCATGTTTCTCAAGCAAGGCAGCAGTGGTGGTGGTGGAAGAGTATTAGGAAACAGGAAGAGGATAATTGGAAATTGCACTTTCAAATTGCCCAAAGGTCCTAGATTTTCACCTGTGAGATTTCTACAGAAACTGGGAGCAAAGGTTGCAAGTGCTCTAAGAGTTGTTTCCAAGAGAAGGAGATCATCCAGGAAGGTTTCTTCATCCTCTTTGGTCAGGTCACGTTCATTATCAGACCCTACTGATTCACATCGTGCTAAAGCTGTAGAAGATTGCATTGAGTTTTTACATTCTTCTTCCTCTAGGGAGAGACCAAGTTCAGTCTCTGAAAATTGTAGATTGGAAGGTTTTTAAGGTTTCTAGTTGCAAGAGATGTATATTAGAGGAAAAAGGTATGCTCTATTGATTTCAATTGGCATGTTCATTAGTAGGAAATAGAGGTTAATCGTTCGTAGACATTGCTTCTTTAGTAATGGAATTTGAGTAGAGATTCCCATATCCAAATTAACTTAAATCATAGTTGTAATTGCGAATTTAGATCCAATTCAATCCAAATTCAATCCAAAAACTTAGACCGGTGGGTGAGACTACATTAATGATTTTATATATTTCTAACACCTTCACACGAGAGCAGATTAAGCTTAAAGAGTGGACAATGCACATGTCCATCTACCTGTGTTAAGAAATTTTATAAGAAAAAATAGGGAGAGATGAGAATCGAATACACTTTCTAATATCAAATAAAGAACTAATTTAATCCAATACTTTAAACCAGTGGATGAGGCTACATTAATAATTTTATATATCTGTAACACATTCATTAGAATATATTCTAAATTGCCATGTTCCTCCTATAGTTATCAGATTTTATTTATTTTTTTGGCTGCTATTATCCGAATTTGATTAATGACCAGTCACTTTTTATTTTGCCAATAATATTTTTTACACAAATAAATGTAAATATATTCTAAAAAAACTCAAATTCTACATAGTCGTCTTAAAACATGCAACAATCAATGGACCAACGTGATTGCATGTGTTTATATTTGTAATTAATGAAAAGAAAAATCAAAACAACAATCTTTGTCAAACGTCTGAAATGCTCATTTTCCATGCACCTAAAAAAGGAATTGTTCATTTTTGTAAAATTATCTTTCTCTTTTGGTTCAAATGAAACTTATAAGCATTTTTTTTATGCAAGTTGCTCATCAATTCTAAGCCAGGAGTGTTTAGGTAACTTCAAAATAGCCACCTTAAGATTTGAACTTAATATTGAAAGTAAGATATGTTTGAAATCGCATTTTACTTTCGCACTAATCATTCTTTTTAATTAGAATTAAAAACATTTGAATAGACAAACTAGCAAAGAGATAAGTGATCTAATAAAAAATGAAACTCCTTAACAAACCATTTCTAAATGAAATAATCTTTGAAGTTGTTGCATGATTGAACTGCAATTAATTAGGCCACAAACATTTTTCAATGTCTAGTGGGGCCTAAGATGAGTTTAACCACTAAAAAAGCTAGTGAGAAAATTCTCTGTTATGATACATCACTAGCCCACAGCTCATAGATATTCTATTTAGCATTCTGAATGCCACTGCCAGCCATATCCTGAAAATCAGTGAATATACCCAAATTGGTATCCACTTTACAACAATCCTTTAACCAGAGAACGATAAATTAATTCCGAATTGCCCATTGCGCAGGGAATCCACAACTATGCAATACAAGTTATAATGATCACTATCGTTATAAATGATTCCTGCTAACGGTCCTTTATTGGTAAATCATCCATTAAGGTTATGATTCTTGTTAGTTATCCTTTATTAATAAGTTATCTAGTATTATTGTAAGTCCTATTGAAATTTGTGATATATATTGAATTTTTTTTTTTTTGGATACTGATATATATTGAATTTGAAATGAAATAACTTTCCCCTTTTAAGCTTTTCGTTTTCTACCAAAAAACTGAGATTGTATCACGTTGCAAAATTCTTAATACCAAGATTTGAAGAAACATAAAATATTTTACACCATCCGGAAAAATACACCAGAGAGAGAATGTAACTCCTATTATAGAGGCCTAATGTAGGAAAAAGTGGTTCCGAACCCGTGAAAAAGAGCACAAGATAATTTTGACCCAACAATTGTTTCCTAATGAGTAGTGACCGCTTTTTCTTATCTGTTCTTTTTGCCTTGTTTTTGTTGAAAGAACTTGAAAGCAAGAGTCTAACATCATCAACAATTCAGCAGCATCCACTAGGACACTTACAAATACGCTTGGGCGGTTATTGTAAAATATATTCATTTAAAAAGTTGTGACAAAAATGAACGAGGGTTCGTTTGGTGGACAGAATAAGATAAGGGTATGATATGTTATGAGATTGATAAGAGTAGGATATGATATGAGGCTGATAAGCCTATATCATGTCCTGTGTTTCGATGAGTCCCTGATTAGCAATCTGATAAGATTATGTAGAAAGAGAAAGAAGAAAGAAAAAGCAAAATATAATACAATAAATACAAATATATTGGGTAGCGTGAGGATATATTAGGTATCTAAGATTGATATCCTATCCTGTTGAATCCTAAACCAGCTCTCCCCATAGGATGAGAAATCATGTATAGGATAAGATAAAATGAGACAATAGGATAAGTTAATCATATCATATTGATCCATCAAATAAGAAAAAAAGTAGGATATTGATCCAAAAGAGTTATTATGATGCAAAGCATCGACCCCTTGAATTTTCAGAAGGGGATCATGTATTTATCCGTTTGTCTCCGACTACGGGTGTTGGGCGTGCTCTAGGAGTGAGGAAGTTGAGTCCTAGGTTCATTGGGCCCTACCAGATTATGAAAAGGGTCGGACCTGTGGCTTATCAGCTTGCCTTACCTCCACATCTGTCAAATTTGCATAGTGTTTTTCACATCAGTCAACTTCGAAAATACGTGCCGGATGAATCCCACATTGTACAGCCGGACAATATCGAAGTAAGAAAAGACTTGAAGTTTGTTGTGGGACCGTTTAAGGTTCTAGCACGTGATGAAAAGGTGTTGAGAAACAGGACTATTCCCATGATCAAGGTACAATGGGAAGGATTGAATCATGAGGACGCCACTTGGGAGCGGGAGAATGAAATTCTCCAGCGGTATCCTGAGTTTGACGTCAGGTATGTGTAATATTTTGTATTTGATTTTGTGGGCAAAATCCTTAAAAGGTGGGGTGAATATAATGACCCTAAATGGTAAATCTTAATTAGAGATTTAATTTAAGGATTTAAATGCCATAATTAGATTCAGTGAGTGATTCCGAGTATTTTGACTGTAATCATGACTATGTTATGAACAGTGCGTTCTGTCGGATAATTTACAGTTTTGTGAATTAACCGGTAGAGCTTAAAAGAGCAAAATAATTTTAGAGACATAATTTGATAATTCTGACGACAAAAATGAGTTCAGAATGAAAAATTGTATAGTCTGGCACTTTCCGTGGAAATCTCGTGAATAGTGTTTCTACCGGGTATTTTGTACTGCTGTTTAAGCAACCGGTAGAGTCCAGAAACAAATAATTGATGAAGTAAGAATAAGAAAGTCCAATATATGCCAAGCAAGTCAATATAGGCCCAAGAAAATGATAAGTTTATAAGTGTTAAGTTTCAGAATTAAATAAAGTACACTTAGTGGTTCACAGTGCATTTCGTTAAAAACGGTGCAAAAATCATACTGTGAATTATGAATATTGTTACTTAGGAAATAAAAATTAATTTAAATGACTTTAGAAAAATAAAAATATATCTGTAGCTTTAAGTTAAGTTCCGGGTCAATTAAGTAAAAATACGCGATAGAAAAACAACCGGGTAAAAGGGCCACATGTGCTTAAAAGCTTAAGTGACTCAAATGAGCACTATTCAAAATCAGCTCTCTCTCCTCTCTTCCTCAAAGAAGCCGAGCTGCACTTGGTGAAAAGGGGGGGGTGGGGTTTGGTTCTTCATTTCTTTGATTCTCACTCAAAAGTTAACCAAATCACAAGTCCCACTACTTGAAATCGATGGGAAACCACCCAATGAGTCCATCCCACCCATTTATTTGAGCTATCATTGGTTGTGTGAGGAGATATTTCCTTCCCCAAATTCGTGTACTATTCATCAAGAGGGCAAAATGAAGTTTTTGATGGAGATTCTCTTGGTGTAGGTCTTCTAGGCTTTGGGTAGTTGATTTGAGGTAACAAACCTCTATTTCCATGATGTTGTTTTGATTATTTAAGTTATAAAATTGTGTATATGCCTTGGGTGGGAAAACATGATGTGTTAAAATATGTATTGATGAGGAATAATTGATATTTTGATGTATAAAATGAAAATAAGCATTTGTATGTATGTAAAAAAATTAGAAAAAAATCCTATGATTTCCTCTACATGTTCGGCCATCATAGGTGAAGAGTAGGTTGTTGTGCAAAAATTTTATCTTAAGTATTAGGAAGGTTTAAGGTGTAGGAATTAAGTGGAAATTTGATAAATTAGTGAGAATGCCAAAGTGGGAAAAATTATATGAAATACGCCCTTAGGTTTAGGCCTTGTGGGGCTTTGGAGGGACTTTATGCTCCAAAAATTAAGTTGGAACCTTATGAAAACATGTATTTGTATGTGTAAGTTACGTGTAAGTGAAGAAAAAGAACCTTTGTCTATGTCCTTGTAGTGTTCGACCTAGAGGGTGGTATAGGAGTATATTTTGTTACATTTTATTGTAAATAAAATGTGTTGTAATTCATTGTATAAAATTGATGAGTTAAGAAGTGAAATGACTTGAAAAATGGTTGAAAAATACTTTGATTTCCTAAGGGTATGTCCGCGGCGTTTGAAGTAAAATGGCATGAATGATATTGAAAATTCTCAAGTGAATACTTGATTAAAATTAAAGAATGCTAACGAGTATAAGGTGGTCTAGACTTGTGTATTGGCATAACATTGGCAAAAGTATAAAGAAAGGAAAATAAGCGATAAAATGTATGCTTATGAAATAATCATGGCATAGTATCATCTTATTGATGCATTGTAAATTATTCTCTAGGTGTGCCTAGGGATTGAGAAGGATCGGAAATCTCTTGAAGCGATAAAAGTAACTTGGTCCACAAGTAAGCGTATTGGTAAAGCTTCAAGAGGTAAGCTCTAGGTTTAAGGAGTCTTTTCCTGCTTGAGTGCTCCACCATGGTTAGTGAACTATGGTTGGACTGTATGACTGTGATTTAGATGCTTTGTATAGATGCATTCATATAGAGTTATTTGATAACATGATATGTTTTGCTCTGATATGACTTCTGTAATATGATTTCTGTAACAATCTCTGGCCAT